CAGGGAACGCCGGGCAGGAGGGGAGCAGGCAGAGAGGGGCTCGTTTGCGGGTGCCAAGATCCGGGGAGCACCGCCGAGCCCGTGTCTGCTCCCACCACAGCGGCTCTGCGCGGGGAGGGAGAGCAATTCCCTGCTCCGCCTCAGCCAGCTGGGCACCTGCACGAACCTCTGTGCAGAAAACCCGGGCATGTGGGGCCGCTGGGGCGGGCTGGTGGCTGCGCAGGAGCTGGGCAGCCCACGGGAAGGGGCTGCTGCTGACTGCAGAGGGATGGAGCAAGCCGAGAACCTGCTGGCAATGCCATCCCTGTGCTGTGAAGGGCTGGGGCAGCTCACACATCCCGTGGGGCGAAGGGCCGGGTCGGCATCCCCATCCCCACCGGGTGAAGGGAACAAAAACCAACACGAAGAGGGAAAGGGTGAACCTACCCTAGACTGGGCAAGGGATACCTGTTGCCGAAGTGCCCCATTGCTCATCTTCCTTCTCATTTCAACTTCATCCTGTCTGGAGGCAGGAAAGGAGCTCGGCCTCGGGAAAAGCAAGATGCCAAAACCAGCGTTTGCTGCTGAGGCAGATCCAAGCGGGGCCGGGAAGAGGCTGTCCGGGACAGGCACCGTAGGCAGCAGTGATACAGCGATGGAGCCGCGCAGAGCCGGGACAGGACCTGTGCTCCTGAGCTACCTGCAGCAAACCAGCACCGACCCCGGCCAGAAACTGGCAGGTTTAAACCCAGCTGTAGCCCTTTTCCCGAGGTGTGGGGGGACCGGCCTGATGCTCCGTGAACCTGCGTGGGCAGGTGTGCGTGGCTGCCTCCCTTGTGCCCTCACCTCTCGGGCAGCCCAGGACATCCAGAGCATGGGCACAGCCCGACGGTGCCCCGACAGGGCAGATCCCCTGCCCTCCCCACGATGAATCCCACATGCTGTGAGCAAGGCTACGGAGGGAACAGAGGGAAAAGCGGCTCAGCCTTGTCCACAACTCCGAGGAACATTCCTGCAGCCGAGCGGCATCGCTCCCAGCCCCTCCGGCGCAGCCACACGGGACTGGGGGATCAACGGCTCCTTGAATAGCGACACACGTCAGGCAGCTGATTTCTGCCTGAAATAAATGGGTTTGTGGCAGTACTTCACCTCGGGGGAAACATGTCTTGACAAGCTGCAGTTACTCGCGTGCCCTGAGGGTTTGTGGAGCCTGGTTCCTCGGGAGAGTGTTTTACCGGCTGCTCCCGACGCCAGGAGCAGCTTCATACCCGTAACAAACAAGGCAAAACACGGAGCCAGAGCAAACAGCTGATAAAAATCCACATTTTGCCCCCCGTGTTTGCTGTTCCGGCTTCGCAGCGCAGGGCTGGGGAGGGGAGGGGGAAAGCTCAGTGCTGCTGGCACAGAGCCTTGCTCCTGTCAGGTAAAACACTCCCTGGCTCTTCCGCTGCTCCCTTACGCCGACTGCCAGGAATCATCACCAGAGGAATGCACCAGACATCCCTCGCACTGTGAATGTTCATCCGCTCTCTGCGGAACTGCTGGGGCGAGCAGAGGCTCACGTGAGCTGCTAGCGTGGTGGTGCAGGAGCTCACTCCTGCTACGGGCACAACCTGTCCCTCCTGCCCAGCCCGAGCACCCAGGGGCTGCTGGCCTTTGCCACAGACAGGGCTACGCTCCAGGCTGATGGAATATCTCATCCATCAGCAGCTCCAGGGATCTGCAGCAGCAGCACCGCGGGAGGAAGGCAGAGACAAGCCAAGTGGGGAAGGAGCTGCTTGGACTTGTTGGGAGCAGAGGCTGCACAGCCCTGGCAGGACGCAGCAGGTGGGAGCTCTCTGTGGTGCACAGGCTGCCATCCCTGTCTGTCTAAAATAGCTTTTAACACGACGAGAGGTTCGGGTGGGTGCGGGAGTGCTGGCTCTCCCCAGCTCCTCCCTTGCCGAGAGCCTGTCTACACTGCCGTCTGTTCCTGTGCCGTAGACCTCATTGTGCTTTATTTGTCATCCTCCAGCACATATGCTAGCAGCTCCACTGCCTGGCACTCGCAGAGGGTGGATTTAGCTCTGATTCAGGCACAAACAAACACTCACTCGAGGCAGTGCTCTCTGCTTCTCACATCCCCACCTCCCCACTCTGCCTCAAGGAAGGGAGACAGGCAGGTGGTTGGGCTTGATGAGCACGCCAGGTCCCTTTCAACTGAAAGTAATTTATTTCAGTACTCAATCCTATCCTATTCTATCCCACTATTCTAATCTATACTTCTATTGTATTCTTTTCTATCATTCCATTCCATTTCGTTCCTGCAGCCTCTGCCATGGCAAGCATGAGGTAGGAGAAGAACAGCCACACTTCATCTTGGGATACACTGAAAGGCATCCCAGAGGAGAACAACCATGAGAAAAAGAACCACCAAGGAGGGAACCAAATGTGAGGGACCTTTTGTACTGGCCAGACAGGCCCCAAAACCTGCACAGCTGTGGCAGCTGCTGTCCCTTCTCCTTGGCATCAGTTCTGGGAAGCCAAAAGCGCAATCCAACTGTTTCCTTTGGTGCAATCGTGTTTACTTAAACAGAACACGCTTGTTCTTTTTACCTTGGGCACAGCAGGGACAATCATCGCTGGAACATTGCTTACACACCAGTTCTCAGCCTGTGATTCCAGACAGAGCTGTGGCTCCAGGGGATTCTGTCCCTGCTCACTCAGCAGGGCCACCCTCCAAAACCTCTCCCTTTGCCCCAGGCAGGGCGTGAGGGAGATTCCTGCCTGGGACTGAGCACACTGGGGGCAGAGGCTGTGGTGGGGCAGGGATGTCCCAGTGGCCTCTGGCTGTGCTGGAACTCTATCTTTAGTTCATAAGGAACCATTAACCTTAAGAAGTTGTCCATGTGCTCTGGGAAAGTGTTTTATTATGGGATGATTTGAACCTTTGCCAGGTGTGCCCAGAAATACTCCACCACGAAGGCAGAGAAGGGGCTCACATGGAAACATTGCCTTTACCAGCCCAAGCCCAGACATCTCCACTCCTGGGAGCACTGGCACAGGGCTGTACACACTCCATCCCTGCCACAGGGTCACTCACACATCCAGCTGTCTGTCCATCTGTCTACCCACCCATCCATCATTCTGACAAATCCTGCCTTTCCCCCCAGCACCGAGTCCTTGTTCCCTGACCAAGGCCCTGCCCCAGACATGCTCATGGCAAGCCCCAACCTGACCTCCCCTTCCCCGGAGCGCTCCCTGTTACCACTGGCAAACAGCAGCAAACCTTCCACCCGTGTTCCCAAATCAGGTAACGCCCACTGGACACGACTGCACAGCCCTCGGGGAAGGCCATGGCTCAAACCACCATGTGCCTGAAACATGGAGCCTTCTGCAGAAAACCACAGCAAACAGAGGGACTTTGACAGGAGGAAGGTGTGTGCAGCCTCAAGTAAACTTTTTGTGTGCGCCTCACAGTGCAATCCGGTGCTCTCTGAAAGGGAAAAGTCTCCAGACCCGTATTCTTCAGGAGTGCTGTGAAGCATCAGTAATAAGTCATCTTTGGCAGGAATATGAGAACAGCATCCAGAGAGGGAGAACTTCATCAGAACAGAGAAATCCTTCCAGCCTGCCTTTGGTACAACTCCAGCCAGCCTGAAATACCCCTAAAGGCTCTGCTCCCTCCCCTCCTCAGAGTCATCCTGACCTGTCTTGGGCAATGTACCTACTTTACATGTTCCTGAGCCACTGTTTTGCAATGTTATTTATTTTTGTACGGGGTTTTCCAGTTTAAGGGGTTTAGATGGGTATTTGCTGAGCAAAATGGGCACTTGCCCAGTAAAAAGCTGCCTCGATTACAGCAATTTCCTTCCCTGCCCCATTAGTGAAGCAGGACTCTGTTACGGCCTGGATGCCAGGTGCAAGCAAGCCCCACAGGATGTACTTTCACCCAGTAATTAATTACCTAGCACTTATCTAATTAACCAGAGTTTCCATCTACCATTCCCAGAGGCCAACAGCAAATGCCAGATTCTGCCCCTCCCAGCCACTGCCTAAAATATCTTCCAGTGCCACATCTTCTGTCATTGGGACAGGCAGCAGGACCAGTATCTCCAGTCTCCTCCTGCTCTTGAGGGAGCATCCCAGTCCTCTCAGCCCCAGGAGCACTCTGGCTCCCCCTGATCGGGACTGGAGCCAGGCTGACCCAGCACCCCTGACCACACACCGTCCTGATGGGCTCCTGGGCTGCAATGGGGCGGTGGGACAGCGAGAGCAGACCCTGCTGTCTGGGAACTGCTGAGAGTGAAGTCAGGAGCTGTTCTGAGCCCAAACTCTGTCTTTGTGCACCCCAAAATGCAGGGAAGTGCAGATTTGTACCGACTGGGGCCGGGGAATGGCACCTCTGGCAGAGGTGTCCAGGACAGGAGCAGTGCCCGGGACAGGAACGGAGTCCTGGACAGGAGCAGTGCCCGGGACAGGAGCGTTGTCGGGACAGGAACAGAGTCCTGGACAGGAGCAGTGCCCGGGACAGGAGCAGTGTCAGGACAGGAGCGGTGTCCGGGACAGGAGCGGTGTCGGGACGGGAGCGGTGTCGGGACAGGAGCGGTGTCGGGACAGGAGCGGTGCCCGGGACAGGAGCGGTGTCGGGACTGGAGCGGTGTCAGGAGAGGAGCGGCGTCCGGGACGGGAGCGGTGTCGGGACAGGAGCGGTGTCGGGACGGGAGCGGTGCCGGGACAGGAGCGGTGTCGGGACAGGAGCGGTGTCGGGACGGGAGCGGTGTCCAGGGCAAGCAGTGCTGCCCGGTGCCCGGGGCGCAGGGAGGCAGAGCCGAGGGTGGGAGCAGTGACAGCTCGGACGAGCCCTGTCACCCGGGGTGCACATGTGCAGCAGCGTGCCCGCCCCGCCGGCCAGAGGGCACACGGTCCTGGCCCCGGGGCCAGCAGGTCACCGGCCCCGCCACCGCCACCCGAGGTCAGCGGTGACGCAGTGACAGGGGACAGGCCACTGTTGACCTTGGGAACCACTCAAAGCACAGGAGGTATTTAAGCCCCTGCAGAGCCCCTTGAAACCTCTTCTGAGCTCCAAACCCCGAGGGCTGAGGACACGGGGTGGTTTCCTTACCTTTTCAGCAGGGGATCACTTTCAGCTGACTGGTAGAGCCACTATGACTGAAACAACAGGTTACTCAGGGTGAGTAACAGGGGAACGTTTGAATTTGTTTTAATCAGACAAGAAAAATGTTCTCTGGGTTTTGTTTAAGCCTCATTCATAAAACCTACCTGCATTGTTCTTTAGTTTTTTCCCATCTCTTACAGCAGGTGGGAAGGGACAGCAAACCTGCCTCCTGCTGCCTGCAAAGTCTGGATTTAACTTGCACCCATCCTGCCAGGCAGTTATTTGGGACAATACAAGTGTGAAACCCTGATTTGCTAAGAGCTTAATAAGCTGTCACATACACAGCACGTTGCCCTGGGTATTGCTGGCAGACCTCTGTAAGGGAAAGAGCTAAAATTTCCATTGACAAAATTGATAAATACCAAGAAACATTTTTTGCCAAACACATAGATATGACAGAAGTGTCAAAGAGGCTGCCTAGAGCAGAAAGGCAGCTGCCCCAGGTTCCACACAGAGGTGGCTTTTCTCTGTCCCATCCCTTCCGTGACAACAGGGTTGTGAGTACCCTCATGGGTACCTGCCCTGTCCTGCCCATTCCCATCCCTGTGGGCAATGCTCAGTGCTCTAACCCATCTCCTCCCTGTCTCCCCACAGGAGTGGGTTTGTCCACGTTAAAAACCCACACTTGGACTCGATGGAGGAGGACATCCTGTACCACCTGGACTTGGGAACGAAGACGCACAACCTGCCAGCAATGTTTGGGGATATAAAGGTAAAGAGCAGGTGGAAAAATGAGGCAGCAGTTTTCCCCCTCCACAGGCTCTCCAGCCCCCTTCCCACAGCCCTGCTGGCCCATGCCAGGGCCCCACTGCTGCTGATGCTCCTGCCAGGACTGGGTCTGCAAGGGGACTCAGCCACCCAGGGCAGCCTGGGCAGGGAGGTTGTTTGTCCTTGCTTGTTTTGGGCAGAAATCCCAACAGAAAATGATCCTTTTAAAAACCTGTAGCTCCACAAAACCTGATTTTATCTTGGCCCCATGTTGGAGGACAGACGGAGGAGGCATTTGTCCAAAGAGTTTGATCATCATCTACTGGAGACAAGGGGAGGAGGATGTATTATTTTTGTCTGAGACCTGCTGTCAAAACCAGCCTGTCACGATGGCATCCGCTTCCATTTCAAACCGGAGCCTTTCCCCAGTGGTGCGGGGGAAGAGCTGCAGTGTCCGGGGCTGGAGCAGCCTGGCACAGCCCCAGCACAGCCCCCCCTGTCCTGCACCCTGGCAGCAGGATCAGCAGCACTGCCCTTGCAGCCAAATGCTCAACCCCCTCCTACCTTCACGGAGCGTTTTTTCCTTTAATATGTAAAATTTGTCCTTTTTCCTCCCGTCTTTACGGTCTCTGTGCCATCATCAGTGGTCAATCATTGCAGTCGGCACTGTCCACAGAATAAATTCAGAGACGAGCTCCTCCTTTGCTCTGCTGTCAGTGGGGACACTAACAGAATAAATTTGCCGAGTTATTTGAGATTTTCTTGCCTGGAACTGGTACCCAAGTAAGTCCACGCAGCTCTACGGCTGCCTGGACCCAGCATAGTCACCACCCTGATGGAGTGACAGCCTGGGTTTCATGTTAACCCCTGGTTTTGGGAACCTCAGTTGTCCCGATGTCCCTTGACTGCCGCCAAGGGAGCAGCATCTCGCTCCTTTCCCCGGGGAGACGCGTCTGGCGCAGCCAGCGCGGCCACATCCAGCCCGACTCTCGCTACCCGTTTTAGCTGAGCAGAACCAACACAGCGCTGTTTCATTTCCAGTTCGTGGTCGTGGGCGGCAGCCCCAACAGGATGAGGGCATTCGCGCAGTTCATGCAGCGGGAGCTGGGCCTGGGCGCCGGGGAGGAGCTGCCGGACATCAGCGCGGGCTCGGACCGCTACGCCATGTACCGCGCGGGGCCCGTGCTCTCCATCAGCGTGAGTTCAATTTGTGCCGCTCCGCGGGCTCACGGCAGCCGGACAGGGGGGGCCTGTCCCTCCCGCGCCTCCGCCTCTCCCAGTGCCACCGGCAGATTTTTTTCCCCCTTTTCAGTGTTCAGCCATTACCACCCGTGCAACCTCTCAGCCGTGGCAAAGCTGCTTCTGTTTGAATAACATTCCTCGGCACCCTGCAGGCTCCGTTTGGAAAGTGCCATATTAACAGACACACACATTCTGCTCAGCTTGGGTCTGGCAGTTTGAGAAGCAAAGACCACTTCCCACCACGCATGAACCATGCAGTGTTGCTGGGAGCATTACACTGACACGAGCTCTAAAACAAAATCCTGCTTTACTATTAATTACTCTTTCAGAGCAGGATTTTTGGCACCGCACAAAGGGAAAAGCAAACACAGGCTGTGTTTGGGAGAGTCCTGCCGTCATTTCTTCAGGCACGAGATCAGTCTGAAATGTGATTCACAGGAGATGGAGTCACTCACACAATAGAGCTCATGTCTGGTCCCTCTGACAAAACCAAACCGATCCTGACCAAGGGAAAAGCCTGAGGGAATCAATCTGATCAGATCCAAGGGGAAGAATCCCCACAAGATTTGCTGTTGCTCAGCCTGGCAGCAGCAGTGACACAGCCAGAAGCAAACCCTTGCTGAGCTCAAGGCTGTGCTCCAGCACCATCTCTGGCCAGGGCAGGAGCCCTTCGCCCATCCCTGCAAGGGGACCCAGGGCAGAGCTGCAGAGCTCTGGCTGGCCCCAGATGCATCGTGTGGAGCCGCTGCCAACATCACATTTCTACAAGTTGCTTAGAAACACAACTGAGCTCAAACATACAGGGGCAGGAACACAGATTCCTGCTCTGAATATTTACCATGAGAATAAATTTTTTAGGCATTGGCAAATAACCCAGGCTGATGTTCCAGAATAACAACATGCAAAAAGGTTTCATATTTAAAACATGATACAAGGACAACAGAGCACTGGTATCAGAGCCAACAGAAGGGAGACAAAGCAACATTGAAACTGGCTGTGTAAAAGTTAATTAACGGAGCTTCCACATGTGCTTCCTTCAGGTTTTTGAACATGATAGCGAAACCAAAAAATTGTGAGGCATTTTAAAGGGTAAAAAGCAAACCCCATTGAACCAAACACCTTTTGTTCTTAAAGGTTAAGCTGAGGAAAGGACGTCAGTCTAGCAACAGAGCAGAAGAGAGACAACCAAGTGAGGGAGGGCGGGCCAGAAGCAGCTCCAGACCTGCAGAACATCTGCCAGCCCTGGGGAGCAGCAGCAGAGATGGGAGCAGGGCAGCACTGTCCGTGGAGGACGGGAACTGGCCAGTGCCAGCGGTGGGGAGCTGGCAGCCAGGCAAGGGCTGGGGACAGAGGGACACCAGGGCAGAGGATGTGAGCCAAGAAGCAGGACAGGTGGCCTGCAAGGTGTGCAGCAAACCCCTGACCCTGAAACCTGTCCTTACTGAGGGACATGAACCCTTCTGTCATCCTTGGTGCCCAGCAATGTGGTGGAGATGCTCTGGCTTGGGGCAAGGACAGGCTGGAAGGCACTTGGAGAAGTGGAGGCTCTGGTTGTCCTTGCTGAAATTCATCACTCCCAGAGCACAAGCAAGACATGACAGAGTCTGAGCCAGCACATGGCATTAGGACAGCAGTGCAAGGGGAAGGTCTTGGAGCACTCAGCTGTTAGGACATGTTTGTGGAGACCTGTCTTGAAAGAGAGGCACCATTTGTGCGCCTGCACAGGGTCCCCAGGGATGAACACCTTCCCTACTGATGAGGAGAACCTTTAAATCATCAAGGGGAGGAGAAATGGGTTAGACACTTTCACCTGGACAGGTTACAAAGACCCTGAGATGTCTCTTCCCCCTTAACAAAATTGCTGTTGCAATCACCAGGGGAAAAGGTCCCAGTGTAACCCTGAGTTTGTTGCAGTCATGTACCTGTCCCCTGCTGCAGCCTCACAAGCACTGACATTTCTCTTTTCTCTCCTTCCAACAGCATGGGATGGGCATTCCTTCCATTTCCATCATGCTTCATGAGCTGATCAAACTGCTGCACCATGCAAAATGCCGGGACGTTACCATTATCCGCATCGGTACTTCTGGAGGCTTAGGTAAGCGATTCGTGGCCTTCCTTCAGAGCAAAACAGCTTCATTAAAATAAATTCCAGTGATAGGTCATGCAGTTCTGAGCTTTACCACTGTCAGGTCTCCAAATATCCCCAGTACCCTGGCTTGTGCCAGCACTGGTGGGGCAACAGGCCCAGGGCAGTGACCATTCCCTGTGCGGGCACTGCTGAGGTAACTCCACTCCTGGGATCAGTTCTGGGCCCTCAGGACAAGAAAGACACTGGGGGGCTGGAGTGTGTCCAGAGAAGGGAATGAAGCTGGAGAAGGGGCTGGAGCACCAGGAGTGGCTGAGGGATCTGGAGAGAAAAGGAGGCTCAGGACTGACCCTTTCACTCTCTCCAATTCCCTGACAGGAGGGTGGAGCCGGGGTGGGGGTCAGGCTGTGCTCCCAGGGAACAAGGGACAGGACGAGATGAGGTGGCCTCAATTTGTGCCAGGAAGGTTTAAGCTGGATATTAAGGAAAAAATTCATTCTCCAAAGGGCTGTCCAGCCCTGGCACAACTGCCCAGGGCAGTGGTGGAGTCCTCATCTCTGCAGGGATTTAAAAGCCATGTGGATGTGGCACTTGGGGACATGGGTTAGCGGTGGCCTGGGCAGTTCTGGGGAACAGTTGGACCTCATGATCTTAGAGGGCTTTTCTAACCCAAATAAATCTGTGATCTCTGGCCAGAGGAGTGTTGCAGCTCACTCCTGCACAAGCTGGTGGAGGGACACGATCTCTGCAGGCCAGAAGCAGTTAAAACCCTGTCCCTCAGCACATTCCCACAATCGCTCATCTTGTGCTGATTCCGTACATTTTACTTGTACATCTGCGCTATTGCATGAATTTCAATTATTCTCTGACATCTGCTTTACTCACCAAAAAGAGCAGCCCCACAGTCCCAGGCAGCTGTATTGAGATCTTCCTGCCATGGTGGAGTTTGGCAGCAGGTCACAGGTGTTACGAGCTCTGGCTTAGCCTCAGTTTCCATCTGCCCAGGGATCGAGGCCGGGTCTGTTGTGATCACGGACAGGGCCGTGGACTCCTCATTCCGGCCACGCTTCGAGCAGGTGGTGCTGGGGGACGTGGTGGTGCGAAGCACCGAGCTGGACAAGGAGCTGGCAGAGGAACTCCTCGCCTGCAGCAGGGAGATTGCAGACTTTCCCACGCTCATCGGCCATACCATGTGCACCTATGACTTCTACGAAGGTAAAACCACCCTGCTCTGTCCTTCCTGCCCCCAAAGGTAACGCCAAGTCTTTACATTCTTACATGGACAGAACTGTCCACTGGCCCCAGGAGGGTGGCAGGAACGGACCCAGCGGATGTGTGAGGGCCCAGGCAGAGCAGGGGCACCCTCAGAACACACAGTACCTCTTGTTGGCACCTTGCTGAGTCTGCCCCTGTGCTGTTCTGTTCAGCAGGGTTGTCACTTCAAAACTACCAACTGTAGGAAAATGTCAGGCTGCCTATCAGATTTACATGAACAAACTTTGGTTACTCTAGAACCCTTTCCTCTGCAAAACTAAATACTGATTGCAGAGTAGATGAAATGTAATAAGTGAAGAATTAATAATCTGAGCACTATTTATAAACCCTTAGATCTGCTTGCAGATGCAGCCATCTGTGTATTGCTCAAGGCCATGTTTTATTTAAACAAAAAGCCATTTGAGAGGATTAAAGTAGGAAGAGCAGTAAACTGAAGCACTGTCCCAGGTCAGCCCAGCTGCAGGCAAGCATTTACCTTCACAGCTGAGGTGCACCATGGACCTCAGGAGTGGGGATGGCTTGTCCCCACAGAGGACAACATCCCCTGCACTTCACACCTGTGGGCTGACTTGGCCCTTTACCTGTGGTGAAACCTGCACCATTCTCTCCCTACACAGAGATGTGTCGTGCTGGCTTTAACATGGAGGGGAAGAGGAGTTAACAGCTACTCAAAGGAAAACTTCATGGGTCTCAGATAGAACATGGGCACTGTCAGGTTTTCTGTTTGCACCTATGCCCTGTGCCTGTGACCCTGCCAGGGCCAACAGTGACACTTCTCTTCTTCCTTCCCAGGTCAGGGGAGATTAGACGGTGCACTGTGCTCCTTTTCCAGGGAAAAAAAGTTGGAGTACTTGAGCAGAGCTTATGATACCGGTGTAAGGAACATTGAAATGGAGTCCACAGCATTCGCTGCCCTGTGTGGGCTGTGTGGCCTCAAAGGTGAGTCCTGTCAATTCTATCTCCTCCCTGCACCCTGCTTAACCCCCCTCCAAGGGTTCTGTTTGATGCCAGAAGGCCAAACACACATTCCTAACAATTTGAACTAGAAAAGGACACTAAAACAAACTTCATAGCTCAATAAAACCCAAGGCCTGAGAACACATTGGACAAACCAAACCTTAATCCCCCCCACCTTCTCCTGGCCCTACAAACACGTCCTGGCCATGCTGGTGCAGCCCACCCCAGGGTTTGCTGCAGCAGAGCCCATGTAAGTGGAGGGTGGATGCAGAGCAGAACCAGTCCTGCCACACTGGCCCTTTGCCGTGAGCTCCAGGGGGGCAGACCCTGCTCCACCCCTGGGGGGAATGCGGGGTCAGGAGCGAGGTGACAGCGCTCCATCCATCCATCCATCCATCCCTCCATGCGTTCCACAGCTGCAGTTGTCTGCGTGGCGCTCCTGGACCGGCTGGAGGGGGACCAGATCCAGGCATCCCACGAGGTGCTGTGGGAGTACCAGCAGCGGCCCCAGCGCCTGATTGCCGCCTTCATCCGCAAGCGCCTGGGGCTGGGCCCCGCACACTGAGCGCGGCTTGGGCAGCGGGGCAGGTCACACTGCGCTGGGAGCGGCTGGGCAGGACCTGCCCACAGCACGGCCCCTGCTCTGGCAAACCCCAAGAGACTCGGTCACTCCGCACTCCCACGGGAGAACACCTTCCACAGCCGAGGGGAGCGGCCGGACCCTACGGACACTGCTGTGCAGGAGCTGCGGGGACACTGCTGTGCAGGAGCTGCAGGCTCCAACTCGGCTGCAATGGCTCTGACACGCATGGCCAAGGACAGCTCCAACCTCCAGCATGGCTGGAATGACACACGTGCACACCCAAGGACAACTCCAACCTCCAACACAGCTAGAATGACACACGTGCACACCCAAGGACTGCTCTGACCTCCAACACAACTAGAATGGCTCTGACACACGTGCATGTCCAGGGACAGCAGCTCCAGCCAAAATTTGCTCAGAAATAAGGCTGTGTTACTGAGCTGCAGGTTCCTCACTCCCAGCTCCACTCATTGAAAGTGTCCTGTTAGGGTCACTCCTGTCCACAGTGATCCTGTAGGAAGGAGATCTCTTTGCTTTGGGCATAAAGCCAAAGCCCAAGTAAATGATACCCCAAATTAATCGATATTTGTGACCATTATTGTTACTCACTGCTGTTACAGAGGCTGTTCAGACTTTCATTCCTACAGTATTTAAAGATGTGACAAACTGGCAGGTGCCAGAATTTAAGCATGAGAACCCGTCTCTGGCTGAGCAGGAACAGCTTGACCTCTGTCACAGGGTGGGCAGGTTTGGGCACAGAGACCCTTGTGAGGGAGTGAGATGAGGAGCACACAGTGCTGACATGACCTGATTTCACATAACTGCATCTTTTGCATCCAGCAAGTCATCTGCAAGTGTCTCCACAAGCTGGAGGAGTCTGAACTGCACCTGGGTGGAGTGGAGGGGTTGTTTGTAGAGGGTCCCTTATAGCCTGAACAATTCACACAAAATCACTTTCAGTTCTTAAGGTTCACTAACAAGCTTGCTTCCAAAATAATTTTGACACCTTTGGAACAATAACTTACAGGATACTTACAGGGAGCTTGCAGGATAACTTACAGAAGGTGTTGCAGGCCAGGCTGGATGGGGTTTAGAGTGAGCCAGTCTAGTGGAAGGGTGGGTGGAACTGAATGGGCTTTAAGGTCCTTTTCAACCCAAACCATTTTGGGATTCTCTGATGATTCTATGATATCATGAAAACTGATGCCATGAAAAAGCAAACTCCACTTTATACAAGAAAAAGAGACTGGTTCCTGGTTTCCATTCCAAGAGGGCTGGTTTTAGGCTCTGATATTAAGATGACAGAGAATAAATCCCAGGACATGAGCCAGTGTCTTCCCAGAATGGAAACACATTCCTCCAGTCACTTACCATGCAATCCAACCTACCATTCCAACTCAGTTCTGCCAAGTTCAAAGTCCACTTCAGAAACTCCCATAATAACAGCAATGTACCTTCAAGCTCTTTTGTGAAAGTAATTTAAAATCTCTCAAGGAAAAGGAATACTGGACTTGAATCTCAAAAGATTTTGCACCACTGAAATTATCTTTTAGATCTGCTTTTAAAGGTAAGGAAAAAAATAATCAACTGCCACAGGTTTTGGATGATCCCTTTCTGGGAATTGTCCTGCAGCCACTCTGTTCCTCACAGCACAGCACTGCTGGTCTCCCCTCAGGAACATCCAGCCAGTTGTGAGGCTGGTCAAGTGTGTTTTAAAAATAACGAGCTAGCCCAAAGGAGATTCCAAAATAACAAGCACAAACACACACAGAGTTGTAATTTTAGCCCAAACTCGCAGAAGCCGAGCCCAGACAGCGCAGCTCCCACGGCTCAGGACAGGCTCTGCAGCAATTCCCCACCAAATAACTCAGCTGCAGTACTGAGGTGATGCTGCTCCTGGCCTGAGCTGTGCTCACCCATGGGGTCTGTCACACCAGCTGCCCCACCCTTGGCACCCACCTCGGGGTCTCACCAGGTCCCGGCGCTGTGCCCTGAGCGCCCTGCCCGGGGCTGGGAGGGCTTTGCCAGCGGAGTTCTCAGTCTGAGGGGTGACAGCTGGACATGTCTCTGCAAAGCTCGGATGGGACACACTGACACCTGTAAGGCATTACAGTTCCACATTAAAGAGGTTCCCATAGTGGCCCAGAGACACAGGTAGGGATGTTCAGATCTTTCTGCTACTCATCATCCTTAGAAATTTCTGGTCAAAGTGCTAATTTGTAACTTGTTTACAATCCTTTTATGCTATCTTTACGTAAGGCTTGAAAACATAATCAATTACAAAAGGAAATTACATCAATTTCCCTTTCAGTTAATAGAATCATATTCAGTAATGTCAGCTCCAAAGTAAAGATCCCAGCTCTAATTCTAATTTATAATTTATACTGAAAGACTAATCTGCAATATGAAATTGCATGACTGGCTTGCAGTAAATATGATGCAGCAGATTGGCTTCTAAATATAGACAAAGGTTTAAGTTTCTTCTTATAATAATCAAAGATTATTAGAAACATTCATGGTAATGAAGATTTTGTAATTAAAAAATCAAATTCTCAAGAAACTTGGAATGAAAACTGTGGGATTTATTCATGTAACGTAATATATAATCTAAAGTAACTGCAGTGCAAAGTTTTTTGGATTTCTGCTGCCAACTGAAGCCCAAGAGCTCCTACTCCAGGTGCTGCCCATCAGATTGGCCCGTGCTGTGTGTAGGAGTCCTGTGTCCAGGTGTCCCAGCTCCCAGTTCAAGGGGACATGGACACTCACACTGCACCAGCCCACCCCCCAAGCTCCCCAAACCTGCACCAGGCAGGTGTAATGTGGTGCAGCACTGGGGAGAAAGGCTCAGCAGGGGTTTGAATGGCTGCACACACAGGGAACTGAGCAGTTCTGTGACACAACCAAAGGGAATTTATTAAAGGTTTGCACCCCTGAAGCTCATCTGCTCCTCAGACAAGAGGTGCTCTACATTTCAAAAGCTGTAGATTCCATGTCTCTTCTTGGAAGCTTCAGTGGAGGAATTTTTGGCAAAATCTCTCTTGCATAAAGTGTTTTATGCAGTCCAGCTTCTCGGAGAGCGAGCTCGACACGGAGCCTGGGGTCAGAAATGACCTGGCAAAACAAACACAGCAATGATCCACAAAAACCAAGCCACACCTTCCCCATGCACACAATGCATCTTACAGGTTATCTGTGGATGTATATATTTAAAAAGCTTTAAAAAGGTAGTCAGAAAATTATGGTCATAAAATAAAGCCTTCAAAATAGAGAAGCTTTACAGCTAGCAAGCCTTATCTCACTGTCCATACCCCAATATTATCCTTTTGAATATTCATAATCACAATCATACGATATGATCACAAAGCAAAGAGCCCTGGTTGCCTTCCTCAGCAAAACTGAGAGTGCAGGTGAGAAACCAAGTGATTTTTAATCCAGCTGCTCCCTGAGGAGCTGCTGCCTTTCCTCCTGTTCCCTGTGCACACAGCCCTGAGTGCAGCACACAGTCCAACCCCTTCCTGGTTCTTCCTGTGCAATCCAAGTGCTTCGAACGCCTTTATGGCTTTTCTCACAGTGTTGCCTTGTGCTTACATGGCAGTGCCACTTCCATTTCTCAGAATGACAACTAATCCCAGGAAAATTACTTCTGAACTTTGTCAGAAGATTAGTTGACAACATTTGTAAGCCTCTTTCTGGAGAGACTGCCCCACCAGTCACTCCTGATGTTTTTATCTCACACACACCATAGTCTGTGTTCTACTGCCCCTGTTGCTGTTTAGGATATGCTATTAAGACATCCATGGCCACAGTGGCTCACACAGGATCACAGCCAGTTACCTGCTCCTCACTGTACGTGTGCAGCCTGAACAGGGGCTGCTGCAGCTCAAACTCTTGGTTGGCTCCGATGCCCATCCGTGCCCGCGACGCCACCGTATCAGCCACTGCTCGGGCTGGGTCTGACTTTGCAACAACAGCGACCTGAAACACAAGACGTGAAAACAACATTCACTCTCTGTGTAGAGCCAAGGTGAGAACAGGCTTTTATCAGGAACACACATTTGAGAACATGATCATTCACTGCCTTTGCACTGTAACAGTGCTGAGGTGCCAGCCTGGGCCCAGCAAGGACAAGAGAGAGAAGCGACAGCACCCTGGGCTCTCCAGCAGAGCCTGACACGAGCTCCAGCATTCCAAGACAGTCACCACAAGGACCCAGAATCCCACAATTCTGCAATACCCACAGTTCTGCAACACCCACAATTCCAGGAAATCCAAACTTTCAGGTTGGTAGTTCACAATTTTTACAGAGTCATGGCCAACAACATTGAGTGATATGCCCCAAATAACATAACTCTGTTTTTTTTGTGAAGTGCATCTGCTTTAACTGTGTAATTTCCTGGGGCTAGATCAGTATCAAAGACTCTCAGACACTGTATTGTGCCAGAATCAATCTTCTTTCATTGCTTACTTTCTTTGTGTTAAAATATTCAGATACAGGATAATACTACTTTGGAAAAATACAGAAAGATGCATGAGCAAAATAATCAAAGTCAGAACCCCATCTGATTGGCTAGAACCATAAAAAATGGCTTAAATTTTGTACGATAATTTTTTTTCCCCATCTCTTTAATAAAATGTCATCTTTGTATTTACAGGCTGCCAAAATCTACAGGCTGGCTGGATGACTTTACTAAAAAACTTTTTTCCCCACATACAAATAAGGCACATACTTTATGAATTTCATTTCATTAGTGTGAAACAAAGAATAAATGTTGGTTAGAAAAGTGTAACAAAGTGGGAACTCCCCCATTCTGGGCAAAGGCTGTTCTAGAAGTGTTTTCTACTCTGGCAAGAGAATTGAGTCAGTGGGCAGAGCTCAGCAGTTCATGACTCCCAACCAGCCTCATGCAAAACCTGATGCAAATGATAGTAAAACTCAACTAGGAACTTGGAAAAGATGCAAGAGAGTTATTATTAAAAATGCTTTGATAACCTAAAATAACACTGCAAAATATTTAATTGAATCATTTTTAAAAATAAAGCAAAACTGACTGGAAATGTGCTCAAGTTCAACAGTTTAAAAAAACTACCGAAAGGATACCAAGGTTTATCTATTATCTATTATCTATACCTGAGGTTTATCTATTCTCCTTCTGCTCAGCTCTCCCAAAGAAGTTGGCTCAGAATATTTGGCCTCTGTGATAATTTATTTTCCTCTTGACTTTGCACACCCCATTACCAAGTAAAAGCACTGGTGAAGCCACCAATACCCCCTGAGGGTTAAGGAAGGGTTTCACAGGATGCACTGGGATGGTCCACTGAAGGGAAGGTCAAGGCTGCACCAAATACCAGATTTTTAACCAAGGGTAGTCCTGGTGGAAAAGCTGCTGCTTAAATTATCACAAATGAAAAAAAGGGGGTTGAAGACCCCCTTTTCCCCCTCCCTATTTTCCTTTGGCTGCACATTTAGGGTGCAGCTCCTATAGTGTACAGAATGTGAACTCTAGCTTTTTCCTACTTTTGGCTTTTTCAGAGGATAAAACCAAGGAGATTAGATACAAAAATGCAAGTGAAAGTAAAATTACTCCTTCAGAAGTAGCAGTAGAAAAAAATAACTACATTTACTACATTTACCAGCACTATATTTACTATGACATTAGTAAGCATTAGCATGCATTTTCTGGAATGTCCTTTAAGAAATAATGTGCAAAAGTTTCACAGAGCTAAATATCTCGGAAGAAAAGTCATCCAAGAAGTGTAAGTTTCCAGAATTTAAAAACAATCTAAATTACTTATAAATCTTGCCTAAGACTCAGGAAAGACTTAAGATCATTAAAATAAAAATTAAAAAAAAAATTCAAGGAAATCACATTCAACCTAGAAAAAGCCCTCTCTATCTCCTTTTCGATATCAACAGCTTCCACAGTGCAATTTAATGTCATAATGTTCATGTTGTCAGAGCTACAGAGCACACAGGATTTACAGCATGATAGAATTACTGTCAGTCAGCCCAGGAGTGCATTTTAACTCATTTATTTATTTGCTTGATTGTTCCTTTTATGTCTCAGTGCTCTGACAGTGTGTTTGTTCCCCTGTGTGTGAGATCAGTGCAGCCCGGGCTGACCCACCTGCTGTCGGAGCATTTCCAGGCGCTTCTCCCTCTCCTGCTCTTCCCGGGCCTGGAGCAGGAGCTGCTCCTTTCTCTCCAGCAGCCGCTTCTCCAGCAAAGCCCGTCGGAATTCCACCCTGCCAAGCACAAAGGGAAACGCTGGGCAAGGGCAGTCTGAAATTCCTCTCTTGGTATTTGTGTTGAAAATTACCCTGATGTTTTCTACATCCACCTGATGCTCAAAACACCTGAGAAGTGCAAAATGATTTTCCACTTGAACATATTCTCTTTTACGGAGTTTTTTGTTTGGGTTTTTAGGGGAAGAGGGGTTTGGGGAGTTGTATTTTTTGATTTGCTTTTGGGTGGGTTTTAGTTGGTTGGTTGTTTTTTTGAACAACTTGGCTAACCTTTCAGATTTCATGTCTAGACTGCAGATTTTCTCTAACGTGCTTTATATAGTCCTGGTACTCTTTTTTTTTTCTCCCCCAATTTCTTTGCCAAGAAGAAATGTTCTCTCACATCTGTGTATGGCAGAAGAAATCTTTCCTATAACCCTTTCCATTAAAAGCAACACCTCACTCCCAATCTTGTTACTGGAAGAAGCAAGAAAACTTGAGAATTACACCCTTCTTCCAAAGGAAAAAGGTGGGGGGTTCACACCAGTAACTTCAGGACTTTACCATTGTCCTGCTCCCTATTTCACAGTAGGGGAAATATGCCCGACAGCACCACCATAAACACATTCCCTGATGACCCTCAGGCCACTGCCAGACTCTGTTCCTTATGGAGCTGTAGATATTTGCTGGTACCTCACTTTTAGTCCTTAAACAAGAGTTGCCAATGCCATGCTTTGCATTTGGAGAGTTGTCCTTCTTTTGCCCTTCAAATTTGAACTCCCCCTAGAGAAACTGAGACGAATGAGCTGCTTCAGCTACACTAAAACATGTTCTGTTATTTTCTTACTCTCCAAGTTTTAGTGAGCTCAAAGGAGCTTACTGTACTTCTATGGCACACTTAGAACTTGTGCCATAAGTTGCAAAAATCGGAACTAAACCTCCAGTTCTGTTGGTGGCTAGCAAAGACCTCTGTGCCAATGATCCAATCACAATTAGCAGGACAAACAGATTTGTCCCAAGAGGGTGGTAGGAAGCTGCCTGAGGGTGCCCTAGAGAGGTTTCCAGTTTCTCACTGTAGCCACTGTAGGAGGTCAGGCAGAGGAATGCTACAGCAGTGGCCCTCAGTGGTTATTCTGTCTGAGGAAGGGTGGGGGAGAAGCCTAATCTGCTTTTTACATGAAGAAAATTTAATAAAAAGCAGATATTAATATTTCTCTGAAAAAAATGACAAAAATTATATTATACTAAAACCCTCTTACTCTGTTTGAGCTGACTACTGTTACACATCTTCTAAAACACTCCAGAGTTATCAAACACAACATTCAGTTGAAGCTTCTGTGCATGGCCAAGAGGGAAGAATGGGGGGCACCCAGCCGGGTCTAACCCAATTACTTGGTCTTGCCTGCAGCAGTTTTCCTGCACACAGGAATGTTAAGCAGTGCTAAATTGGGACATTGTGTTGCCTTTCCATACCTAGTTTGAAGTGATCCAAGTGATCCCAAGTGATTGCCAAAAACCAGGCGGGCAGAGCGGGGCAGAGCAGGGCTTGGCATCACGATGCGTTCTCGTAGCTGTGTTATCCTAGACCATCTAAACTGAGACTAAAACTCTGCTGCACCAGGACACCACGATGCCACACGTGTGCCTGAGGTCTGCACAGTCAAATGTTCTATTTGGTTCTGTAGGTCAGCTCTGGGTAACATAATACTGAGTGTTTACTGGCTTCTGATTCACAATAGCCTGAAGGGATGATTATTTCCTCTCCACATTCCTCAAAGAACTGTGCCATTTCCTTGTATCTTATTCTACAACATTTATTAGCATAAGAAAGAACATTCCCAGCTCTATGGCAGAGTGCAATACACAGGTTTAAAGAAAAATGAGTTTTCCCTGGTCAGTTCTGCTGAAAATTCAAAACACATGTGTTTCTTTTCCCATGAGCTAAAATCACTGCAGGAACGTTTAAGGAAAGGTAAAGATATATTTGTAGCATAAAGATACAAACATTTAAATTTAGCTGTCAGCAAGGTGTCCTAGCAAAATAAGACTGAAGTAGTGTTTCACACAGAATGCTTAAGACCAAGTTTAATATTCAAATGCCAATGGCACTTGAATACTATTTTAATTACATTTCTGATCCACACAGTTTGGTGGTTCCCAACATGTAAAAAGAGACAGGCAGTGCTTTGGGAGCAGTTACAACCAGACTGCTTTCCCGGGTTGTGTTCCTCTGACAGAGGGATTCCCCAATGAAATGGAGCATTTCTTCAGCAGGCCATTAAAGGCCACGTTGTGCAACAAAGACTTGGCACTTCAAGTGTGAGCAGGCTCAAGTCCAAAATCCCATTAAACAGGTACAACTAGATGAGCAGTTTAGGACTCTCTAAGATAATAATTAATATCTTTGAGGCTGTTAAGTGCTGAATGAGCTCCTTTCACTTGCCCCTCAAACAAACCAAATCTGATTATAAATCATTTTGCAAAGTGGGAATGTAGGTGGTCTCATTACTCAGCTACAATTAAAAAAAAATCACCAAGGGAGCTGGGTTTAATGTGTACATCCTGTCATGATTCCAAGTTCAGTGCTTACAAAGGTGTGAAATCTTTGATGGATATTAATTAATTCAAACTGCCAAATAAATTGTATCCAGGGCACAATCGTGATGAAACCTTAGTGTATAGATTGGGGTAATTGCCAAACAGGAAGAAAAAAGTTACTTATCTCAGTTTATTCTAGTTCAGAAAGCTGGAGGATCAAAGCAAGCTAGATTATAAGAAGCTCCTATTAATACCATAGGTATTCACATTTCATTTCTTTTACCTTTCTCTGTCTTTAGCCGCTTGTTCAGCCATTAATTTTCTCAATTCCTCCAGACGTCGTAGGTCTCTCTCCTCCTGTTCTTGCCACTTGAGCTGTTTCTCAGCCCAGTATTTTTTCAGCTAGAGTTTGAACAAACACAGCAAACAAATCAACACTCATTCCCAAGCCAAGGCAGTGACAACAAAGAAACCAAGAAAAGCATTAAGTTAGAAATTCCAATTTTGATCTTTTTAGAATAAAATTTCTATTTGAGAGCACTACAGACTAACAGAAGGTTTACTAGGAGAGCAAGAGGGTGTGGAGCCCCCACAACAAAAGTAGTAAACTCAGACTGTGGATGCTAATTTGAGCATATTTTTCCACTGCAGTCTGAAGACCATCACTTCCATTTGTTCCCTGCCTTCCTACTCTGCCATCAAAAGCTGCAGCTGTGCTGCTTACACAGGTGAATGTTCCTTGAGTTAGAGTGTCCTGAGCTGGCTCAAAGGGCTGCTCCAGGCCAGCCCAGCTCACTGTCTAAGGTGGGGAGTCCACTGAGGAATGGGAGGCAGCACTTGAGTGTTCCTCATATAGGTCTGGAGCTTTTCCAAAGCTGAGTGGGAAAGAAAGACCTCAAGGAAGACTCTGGAACCTGAGCAGGGAAGCTTATCTGAAAAGATGAGGAGGCTTGGATGCAAATGGAGGAATAGGGGCTTAAAGTAGATATTGCTGAAGTGAAACACTGGACTTTTCATTTTAATGACTTCTACAGGATCTTGTTCCTAAAACCATGGCAGTTCTTCAAAGACAACTGGTGGAATTTGTAGCAAGCTTGTAACTCCCACCTTGCCATGACATACTTTGCACATCACAAAATCATTCACATTGGAAAAGATCTTTAAGATCATTGAATCAAACCATTAACCCAGCACTGCCAATATCATATAATCATAGAATATTTAGTATCTTCCTGGCATCCCATCTGTCCCTGCCCTCTGGCAGTGGGAAGCCATTCCCTGTGTCCTGTCCCTCCATGCCTTGTCCCCAGTCCCTCTCCAGCTCTCCTGGTGAAGAAAAATTCTTCACTGTCACAATTCAGAATAAAACAGGTCTTCCAAACAGTGCTTATATTTCAGAATTCCCAACCTGTAAGCCAATCATTTCTTTAGACAGGCCACTTTTGACATATGAAGGTCAGGAAGCAACCTGACCTAGAACCATATTTCTTAGAGTGCTTTTATTTAATATTGTTTCAAATACTTCCATTTATGAAATAAAACTCTTTTGCAATTACTCCCTTTTTGTATTCCTCATTGCCTGAGGGTTTTATCACTAATTAGGAATCAATGGATATTTTTGAAATTCCATCTTTAAATATATAGGAAAAGTTCTGATCTGCAGTCCAATAGAGCAACTGTAGCACTGGCACTTAGAATTAATGGCATTTTACCCTTTCCTGTGTTTGGAATTGCTTGACATACCTTGCCTGGTTACAAACCAGGTAGAGGGTGGTCATTCCTTTTACACTGCTCACAAGTATTTTAAATATTCTTCTTTCTGCCCCAGAACATTCCCCAGAAAAGCAGCTGCAGTATAAGGTTAGCAGCCCTTTTAAGGATCTAAGATGGAAAATACTCCAGTGAAACATGACTGCTGACCCCAAACAGCTGCTATTCCATCTGTGCATAGATAGAGGGCAATTCTATATAGATATCACCCACAAGAAGAGAAAAGTTTGCACAAGAATATTTACAGATAAAATGAATATTGCTGGTGGTTGGGTCAGCACTGTCTGCCCAAACCTCTTCCTTCCCTATGGTTTCAGAGCCACCTGCCACTACAAACACTGTGTGTGTGAAGGCAAATACAGAGAACAAGCTGGAACAAAAAGAACAGCAGCAGCAAAGCTACTCGTGACCTAAGCAGCAAACCCTCACTAAATGTCCCTCTCTGTATCTCTGGACTCAGAGGTAAAATCCTAATGAAACAACCTCCTGGATTTTTGCCACATCATTTAAATAGAAAGGCCAACACAAATACATGTGTGACACAGCTTGGTTTGTTAAAGCATTACATTCATTACAGCAGATTTCTGATTCTCTGCTAAGTTGCACCCCAGCCATTTCCCAAGGGGTGAGCACACAAGCACTGGGAATGCTGTCCCTGGCAGATGTGCTGGTCCCCCACCCTGCTGTCCTGCAGGCTGGGAGCTGTCTCCTCTGCTGCATTGCAGCACTCAGCTGCAGCACTGGGAGCTTCCTGAGGCTGCCACGCTGCTCAAGGCACAGATCTGTGGATCAGAGCAGCCGTGCCCTGTGCTGCTCTGTGACACGGCCACACTCACACACTCACTCGGCCAGGCTTTTGTTTTAAAGACAGGCAATGAGGTGACATAACTGGTGTGTCAGTGCAGGCAGCTTTAGAGCTAAAATGGACTGGAGCAGGACCCAACCGACCATCTGTCCTTCTCTATGTTAATACTTAATACAAGTGGCATGAAATCGATTAAAGATTATAGGAGCAATTGTACACATTAATATATGCAAAAACATATAAAAGTTTCTCATACTTTCTCTTTCTCCTGAGCTCTACGACTGGTTTCCTGTTCTCTCTGTAGCCTTTCTTTCTCATCTTCCTTTTCTTTTCTTCTGGCAGCCACAGCAGCTTCTAGTTTAGCAGCTTCTTCCTGCTGTGCTTTCCACTGTAGAACCTGGAAGAAATGGTTGAAGAGACAGTCCTGCAGCAGACTGTGTAACTCTCTGTGACTGTGATCCTGCCAAGCTGAGACTGGGAAGGAAACTCACGTAATCCATTTACAAAGTAAGATTTATAATCTTATCAGCAACACAATCATTTAGCAAGCACCACCTCTCCACATGTTCACGTGCAGTTTGCAAGTGACTGGCATAAGATGCAATAAAATCACATAGAAAAAGATTTTAGGTAATACTGCTAAAACCATCTCAGTAATTCAGATCTTGAATTCCCCTTCAGCACTTAGGCTTTCAATGACATGTATGTTCCTTAAGGAACCTATGAAGGGATGGAGACCAAGAGTCACAGCCTCCAGCGCCCGCACTTGTGTGCCAGCATTGCACTCCCACCCAGGACTGCTCCAGCCACAGGGGCTCCAATTCTGCCAGCTCTCAGACAGTGCAAACTAGCCTGGCATCCCTGCCCATTCCCAGGGGTTGTGACCGGTGTCTGGGGGGTCCTGCACACACAACACCCCCTCCTCTGTGGGAAGAGAGGCAGCAGCCACCTGGCAGAGCAGGCCAGGGCTCAGCTCGCCCACACCTCTCATTGCAGAGTTTGCCCTGCTTCTTAACAAAACATTCTGGAGACGGGATGGACCACCCAGCTCAACCTGCTAAACATCCACTCCTGACACGACCCTGACAGACTGTTAGCTAAAGAAGACACCCATCCCCTGTGCCATGGGCAGTGACTCATCTTCAGCCAGCGAGGGTCCCAATTTACCTCAGTGCTGTCAGGAGCACTTGTGTGCTCATCTGTTTCACACTGGTTTCAACAGGATTAATGATGTCTCCTTTTTGTTGGTTTGCCAGCTCTTTCTGTAATGGATTTGTCAAGTGCTAACAGAACTCTGCATTCCTCTAAGGAACAAGCATTGGAGCCATTTTTCAGCAGGCTTTCTACACTACAGTGAGTACTTTAATACTAAGATATTAAAATGCTTACAATTTTTTCTACCTTTACTGCATTTTGCTGCCTGTGTGCACAGACTATTAATTCTTCTGGTCTGTACTTATGAAAGATGTTCTGTTCAGAAATCCAGAGTTCCCCATGGTCCAAGGTTCTCGGTGATTTACATCTGAGTGATGCCGCGCTTGCCTCACTTCTTGCTAAAATAACAATTACACTTTGCTCTTTGCAATACACTGATCAGTGATGTGACTTCTCATGGAGGGCAGGCAAAGTAATAACAAGAAAACAACCTGAAAATGAAGAGCGTGCAGAGGATGGAGCCAGATGTGCCCAGTGACAGGATGGGAAACAGACAGGCAGAGATTGAAACTCCTGAAATTCCACTCCATCCATCACTTCCCTACTGAGAGGGTGGATGGACACTAGAACATGCTGGCCAGAGAGGTCATGGAGCCTCCAGCCCTTGGAGAGGTTTAACCCCTGGATTGGGCAGGATCCTGGGTCACCAGCTGTGTCTGACCCTGCCAGGGCAGGGGGTGGCCCCCGGGAGTCTGAGAGGTCCCTCCAGCCTCAGCTGCAACACCCGAATTAAACCTCCCTCACACTTGAAACTTGTAGCACAACAGCTGTTTAAATCCAAATCTTCATGTAGCAATTTTGCCAGCAGCCTGCTCATGCAGTTTAGCACTTTAGGAATCTAAAATAAAATGCTAAATTGTTTCAGTTACCCTCCACTTGCCACACTAATGAACTCAAAAAGGAATGCTTTGAAAATGACTTACAAGAACATGCAATCCTTTCTACCTGGCTTTTGAAACAGACCAAAGCAAAACCATATGCAGGAAGCTTTAAAATCTAACAACAAGCAAACAGTGAATGAAATCTGCTAAAAGCATACTCAGATTGGAGCTGGGATAAGCTGCAGAAGCATTTGAAGGAGCTTTAAACGTCTGTAATAACAACGCTGAGATTTTTGGAACAGAAATGCGGTAACAATCAGATTATGTAACAAAAAATTGCTTTTTGTAAGCTTGGATTTTCCTACATCCTGCTTCACACTCCTTTCAAACACTGTCTCCAATAGTGGGATCAATGCCACTGGGCTCAGTACCTGATGCAGCTTCAGTTCCCTACACGTCTGAGAACTCTTCTGATCGCTTATTGGTCTTCTCTGGATATTAATTTACCTATTAACCGGGGATTTTTTTGATTGTTTGATTGTAGTCATTAGCACTGCAATTGTTGGCCTCATTAAATTGGTCTCAGTGAAAGCTCCAGTTCCCTGACACTGCAGGGGAACCTCTGCCTGGAAATGGATGTGGAGAACAGAGTGGGCCCAGCAGAGTCTGGGACAACAACTGACTGAAGGAATCAAACCCCACTGAAGCAGGGAGCACATACAGGTACTAGTTCAGCCTGAAATTATCTCAAGCCTCCTTATTAATTCATTCTGATTAGCAGTGGTTTGCTTGGCAATGTTACAGTCTTGTGCCAGGCTGTGTCACCTCCCTGGGTTGTTCTCACATAGCTCTTCCATTACAGCCTTTTGATTCAAGTCAGAAATCAATATTGGGGCACAATCTACATTTTTGACAGGTTTCATACAAACAAATGAGCATAACCAAGCATTGAATCCAGAACTTCCCTCAGCTGACAAAGCACTCACTAATCATCCAGCGAGGTTCCCCAGACAGAACAGATAAGCCAGTAACTCAGGGTGTAATTCTGCTCTTACAACACTCCCTACTCTGCCCTAAATCACCAACATGCACATTCAGGGTGTAGAATCTGCTTTTCATCTTTATCTAGTTAGGCTTCTGAATGTACAAGCCCATTGCCAATCAGGAAAATGGGTAATGAGAATGCCAAAGGAGACTGTAACTATACCATATTTGCTCACCATATCCAGTTATTATTTTCTGCAGGCAGCACATGAAGTTAGTTTAGATTATCCCTGCCCCCTCCCCCATGTTTATCTAATCCATGTCTTTTCATAAAGACAAAGACAATTCACTTCCTTTAAAAACAATTCATAATTCAAAAAAAAAAAAAGGAGGGGGAAAAAAAGGGAAAAATTGGTAAAAAACAGAAAAGCAGCATTTACAAAATATGTATAAAATGGGATTCAGCAGGCTGGCCTTATGCCGTGGTTTTTCCCACATGAAGAATAAAGTCATATTGGGTTCCTAAAGCTGAGCTACACTGAAGCGTAAGACATGACAAAAATTAGACATTAACCAGCTGATTTAAATGCCAGTATATTTCACTTTTTAAACCACACTGGAACATTAAAAGCCTCTGTGCTAGAGAGCAGTTGTGGTCCCACAGCCCCTGTGCAGGGAACATCTCTGGGGAGCCCCATCCACAGGAGAGGTGCCCAGAGCAGTTCCTGTCGATGGGGTCCCAGGCTCACAAACTGGGAGCTGCACTATCTGAACTGCTGGTGCCAGAGTGGGCAGCCCTGAGCTGCAGCTCAGGGGCACAGTGCAGAGTGGCAGGAGGGAGCTCTCCTGTGCCACCCCGCAGGGAATGGAGCGGGATAGCTGAGGAATGTCCACAGCACCTCCCTGCTTTCATCATTCTGCTGTTTAAAAGTGACCACCTGACGCTGCATTGCCGGCATTCCTACAGCTGAAGCTTGCCAAGAAAGCCCCGCTGCATTCAGCGAGCTTTTATCTCCAGAGGGTCTGGAGAACAAAAAAACTTCCAGAACAATTCTGCTTCACTGCAGCAGCAATCTGGGAGCACAGACTGCACACAAAAATTAATGTGTTCCTGATTGCATGCTTTCATTCCTACGAGTGCAAAATCAGAAGGGTAGATTTTACTGTGTCAACAATAAATGTTTTATTTAAATATTAAAAAAAATCCCAGTAGTTAAACTAATATTGAAAATACACTGAAACCTGGCTCCCCCAGTGCCTGTTCCACAAAGCAGCTTACATTTTAGCAGTACAAGCACTGTCAACATTAAGTTCTGAAAGTTTTTAATTACAACTGGCATTTCAAGTACATTTCACAGTTCATGTATTATTAGAGAAGCTTTTGCCAAGTGAATTATTAAATTGCTCTGCTGAACAGAATGTGTGCACACCTATTTTCAGTTCATTATTTCAATATTGCATATTACAATAATGTAAAGTACACTACAAACTAATTAAAGTAATAAATTAGTTCTTTCACTCTAACATCTGAATAGTAATAATGTATTTACCATTTACTTAATGCTACAGATACATCTCTTTTAAAGACAGAACAATCTGAGAGACTTTCCTTGGGAACTCCCATTAAATTAGCAAATGGTAACGCAGCACCATGTAAGATTTTCTCTTTAAGCAGCACTGACTTACAGACCTTGAAGCTGCCTATGGTGACACAGGAGGTGTCATCAAGCTCCTGAAAGGGGTAAACAGAAACACAGGACAGCTGGTGTGAGCAGGGTCTGCACAGCAAAGGTCACACAGGGAGCAGCACCAGCCTTTGGAAATGGAGACAAACACTGGGAACATAAAATGCCTGGGAGGAACAGTGCCAGAAATGACTACCCCGAGCTCAGGTCAGTGCTCTCTCACAGGCTACGCCGTGCCACGCTGAGCTGCTGGAATTCAGATTCTAAGCAAAAATTCCCCATAATCCTGTGATAAAGCCAGCCCTGTTTGTCATAACTGAAGTCAGAAAAAGAAAATCCTGAGATGCCCACCCTGATTCTCTCTAGCTTGCTCTTTCAACTTTAGAAAAATGACCCAATTCCAATACCCTTCCAGAATCTCCCAGGATTTTATTAATCTCTGAAACATTTCTGCTCACCTTTCCTAATTTTTATTATGGTTTGCAGGTTTTTTTCTCCTGTTCACAGCAGAAACTGTTCACAATTGATTCTAAGAATGCCCAGAGAAGAAAAACTTGAAGGGTCTCTTCAAGAAAAATAACTTCACAAATGAAGATGCCACATGGCAAAAGAAGTATACCACAGAGTTTGGCTGGTCATGGAAGCCCCTGATGGAACAGGATTCCAGCACGAGACAGAGCCAGCCTGATCAT